AAGTCCTTTATTTTGAACCAGGTAAAGTTTACAAAAAACTGAAAACGGGGATGAACCCCCCCCCCCCCATAATCAATTTTTAGGGTTGCTAGTATTTATCGAGTTCCATTAGCGTAGATATTTGAAGAACACATCTATGATAAAGTTCTGTCATGAAGTTGAGATTTAGTGCGGTCGGGGGGGGGGGGTATCTTGAGGTTATTGCGATTATCGCCTTAATGATTTCTATTAAGGAGAATTATTAACGTGTTTCACCGAGTAATAACTAGGTGTCTACCATACGTTAACTAAAGGGGTGATGTGGTTAAAATCTGCAGATAACTATGGGACAGAGTGGGCTCTTGCCAGAGAATTTTGCTACATCAATCGATTTTTCCAGCTGGGTTTTGAAGATGAGGTTAATTTTATCATCTGCGTTAACCGTTTGGTTACACTATAGTGAACATCTTTAGTTTGGTGCTTTTTGACAATGGTTACAATGACACTATACTAGTCTGCTGGTAGAATGTTTGTTTTTGCCTTTGTTTAGGTTTTTAAGTACAGCTTTCTGGTACGGTGATATTTTAGTTGTTTCATAGCTTTCTGGACTGCTGACCATTTTGAAGTCTTCCGAGAAACTGGACATGGAGTCGTCTGTGGTCATAACTACACCTAGTGTGGGTATTTTGTTGCGATAGGAAAAGTTGCCCTTTATTTAAGGTTCTGATAATAATCGTTTAAATTTATTAGTGCGCTTAGGTGTTTAGTGGCTTCTTCCTTTGAGAGCCAACAAGTTAGTTTTTGCGAATTTTATTGGTACACGAATGCGTTTTACAGACATTTGAAAAACGTTGTTTATTGCATTATATTCTGATAGAGGGCGTTAGTGTTAGTCTGTACCTAGAGTTTTATTTATATAGTTCTATCTTAGGCTTTATTCATTTCATTATTTGTCTTTGTGAAGTATTGTTAGATAATTAAAAATTTAAATTATCTTATAGTTAATATATTATCCGAACACGATCGAGAATGTAGATTACATTATGGGATTAATTAAGGAACTTCAGAAACACATTAGAAGAGTAAACTTACCGTCAATATGTTGTTTTGTGTCAGTGGTGAGTAATTCTGGTGTAGCAATCTCGTTTATACTGCAACCCAACTCTACATTTCCTCGGACATGAACTTTTCCCGCGAAAGATACATCTCCCACAACTACTGGTTCCCGATCTTTCCTGAAAACAGATATGGATCAATGTCATCCATCTGGAATTTTAAACATTATTTGTATTACCATTGTTTGTGGACAAAAATAAAAATACTTAAAGAATTGAAATATAAGCATTTACTGCGAGCAGTGTTCATACGTTATGGACATTTACTATAATAAATTAGAGTCAAACATCAGTTTACTGCAGATACATTAATTACCCTCACAAGAAAACAAAGATACTTGAAGTAATACAAATGTTGTGTATTAACGGATTTCGTCCTAAATTTTAATTTTCGTACATGGGGGATAATATTAGTGAAGAGTTAGGTTTTTAATCAATGTTGTTTATTAGATCACTAGGGTAGAGGGGGTGGAAGCTATGGTTTACAAAAATTAAATTGATATAATAATTTATTAATATTTATATCCAAAAATTGACGTTATGAACTCCACGTTCTATAAATACCCCCAATAATTGACGTTATCAAATCCATGTTCTATATTATTATGGTTAATACTTTTACCAAGTTAATTTCGAAAGCCTAAGTATTAAATTTCAATGATACAAATTGGTTTGAAAACCAAGTATTGTTTGTTATCAATCAGAAAATTATCTATAGCTGTACTCGCCGGGGGTATTGAAACCCAATCTTTCGCCAGTCTTATTCTTAAGCCACTAATGGACGCCAAATATAAAGTAGAAGAAAATGTGATATACAGTAATAACATTCTGTCTAGTAAATATTATTACGACAGCGGAAGTCATGTGACGCTGGAGGCATACGCGCTGGAGTTTCTAGATGGATCATGACTGGTTGGTTGGTTGGTGTTTTATGGCGCA